GGGTGCCAGGACAGTAACCTTTCCCAGAACGGCCTCTGCCAAAACCAAACAGGGCCGACCTTCTTAAAACTCAGCTGCCAGAGGAGGTGTCAGCTACACACACAACAGGCTACACATGGAGGTAAGTGGAGGAAAACACGCTCTTGAGTTATTTGTACAAGATGCAACATTTTTCTGAAAATCTCAAAGGCCACGTTTGTTCACAAAGTTGCAAGCATGCTCAGGGTCTTGTGTGCCTATGTGTACATGCATGTGTGTGTGAGCGCACACTCACACTCTAGAGAAACTCGTAGACCTTGCCTCTGATCTGCACGAGTTGCAAATGAAGGCTAAGGCAGCACTACAGACTGCTCATACGAGCACTGTGGGCTTGCACCATCATTCGGAGATCCTTGGCAAAGGCTAGATGCACGAGTTCTAGGTATTAATGGAAATAATTTATTGTGCTCTAAACAGACTTCAGTGGCTGCACTTGGACAAACTTATGTAATACCAGAACAAGGTACTCATGCAAACAAGCAGCGCAATGCGGGATTCCCAAGGGAGGAAAATGACCAAACACCCAGAGAGCAGACAACATACATGTCCAATTTTCAGCAAAAAGAGCTGAGACAAATAGCAAAGTCCAGTGTGTGCAGACAGATGGGACAGAGATGCCATCAGCAGAGACACACCTGGACTCACTGGCAACTTGAAAACTTACAGATACACTCTCAGGAGCTCATGGAAATCACGTCTTAATAGAGGGGAAACCCAGGTGCTGTTAATCCCCACGGGGAGATTTCTAGCTACACTGACAAAAAGAAAACAATGAAGTGCGGGCACAGAGTGTGACAAACCAAAGCCATTAGAGCAAGTTACAAATCACAATACTTCAAAAGAGAGAATAAATAGAAAGCACTTATAATTGTGCTTAATAAACCTCCCGATGAGCCAGGCATGATGCACAGCTGGGATCCTGGCACTCGGGGAGGCAGAGGCAGGCAGATCTCTGTAACTTCAAAGCCAGCCTGGTCTACAAAGTTCACGACAGCCAAGGGTACATAGGGAAAACCCTGTCTAAAATAAGTAAATAAATAAATACAATTAATTTTAAAAAGATTCCCAAATAGAAACAATATGGAAGGCGCACCAAAACATAGCAGCAGCTTTCTCAGAATAACAGCAGGTAATTTTCCACCTTAACGGACAACAGTTTCTACAGTGAGGCAGAGCAGCACAACAGCCATGCACGACCGACGTTTAAAAGCTCTAAGCAAACCAGGAGCCAAAGACAAGTTCTCCATCTTATCAAAATGGTTAAAGCAAACAAACAAACAAACAAACAAAAAGCAAGACTACATGCTTTCTTTAACAAAATTACCAATCACAAGTATCTCCTGAGATTTCTTATTCAGCATAGCTACAAGTCTTAGCCAGTGTAACGAGACAAGAAAATGCAAACAGCTGGGGAAATATGAATTAAAACTGCTTCTATGGGTGACATACATGAATGGGCAGAAAATCCTAAGGAGTCCACAAAAGTCACAAGTACTAACAAGAGAGTTGAACAATGCTGTGGACCCAGGGACAATATGCAAACATCAACTCAGTTTAGAGACAATTAGACACCAAATGAGCAAACATACATACGCAACAAAACAGAAACGAGTTTTTTTATGCTGACAGCTGAAAAATAGAAGGAGAAACTTAAAGTTCTAAGTAAGCAGAATCACCCACCAGATTAAGGACGCCTAAGATGCCAGTCGCCCCCAAGTGATTAACAACTTCAATAATTTTAATATCTGTTCTAGAGAAAGTGAGCTGCCTCTAAGAATTGCACAGGAAGAACAGAGCCACAACGCTTGAAACAATTTGGAAAAATAACCAAGCTGGAGAATTCAGCCTTCCTGACTTCAAGACTTACTACAAAACTACACTGCAGAGTGGTTTGGACCACAGGAGACACACACAGAATGACAGAACAGAACTGAGTGCCCAGAGATAAACAGAGCTACACGTCCTGGTGAACTTCCTTCTCACAAAAGTGCCAAAGACAACCTTGCTGAAGGACAGTAAGAATGGTTCCCTGGGGGCTGCCAGAATATAAAGGAAAGAGGCAGAGAAAGCCACTGCCTACACTTTGGTTATAGACAAAGAGTAACTGAAAAGTGATCCTAAGGACAATACCTAAAACTACAAAAGGTCTAGAGAAAAACAGAAATTCTTTGCAAAATTGGGTCATGTACAAATCTTTTTTTTTTTTTCTTTATGAAAAAGAACTGATGCAATGGATTTCATCAAAGTGAAGTTTCACTCCTTTCAAGTGTCAGGAAAAGGAATAAATGGAAAACTCAAAGAAAACACTTGTGAACATACACAGAGAGACATATATGTCTATATATAATGCACATACATACACTACATATGTATATAAGGTTTGTGTCCAGATTGTGTAAAATTTTTTAATTAGACAATAACTCACAAACCAAACAAAAGCTTGGAACAAATGCCTCACAGAAGAATATATAGATGGCAAACAGCAGCACAGGGAAATGTCTTGCCCATTAGTTACCTAAAAACTCAAATAAAATCATGTGAGAACCAGGCATGGAAGCACACAGTGCAATCACAGCTGCAGGAGATGGCAGGAGACTCAGGAATTAAGGCTAGCTTTAGCTACAAAATTGGGCCATTTGAGACCCTGACTCAAATTCAAAAAATAAAAGAACAATGAGTCATCGGGAAACACCTCTGGAAGTAGCTAAAGCAGGAGCTGAAGTGTCAAACCTGACTGATGCATAGGAACGCAGCACCGAGCAGCCACTGCCTAAAAACGGTCATGCTGAAAAGTGAACTGTGCACCTGCTGGTGGCCCAACATGCCACCTCGCATTGTTCACCCAAAGGAAATGAAAAACTGTCTCCCGAGACTTAAATATGATTATAGACCGAAAACAAATTTTAAGACAGCTTCATTCCAAAATACAACATAGAAGGAATCACTGTGTCTGTATGAAATCATCACCTGTCGATTAAAAACCTAATGGCCTGTGGCTGAGGCAGGAAACAGGATATAGACATCTGCCAGGCTAGAGCCAGGCACAGGAGATTTCGCCCTGGAAGATGTAAGGAGGACAAAGGCATGGTGCCTAAGCAGAGGTAACCAGCCACATGGCAAAATGTAGATTAGTATAATGGGTTATTTTAATTTACAAGCTAGTCAGAGAAGAGCTTATCTATATGGCCGGTGTCTGTAAATAGATTATGAGTCTCCGGAGTCATCACCCTGGGAGCTTGGGGCTGGGTGGAAAGACCACTGCAACAATTCAAAACTTAGACATGACCTAAACACCCACCAACTAGTGAGTGAGTGCACTGTGGTCTGTTCATTAAGCACCACTCCCCTTTTTAAGGAGACACTAAGTTTGGACACAGACACCAAAAGGGTGAACTAGAAAAACATCCGGTAAAAGAAAGTGGGAACAGAGGGCTACACGCACCGTTTCACTTACCCGATCCCTGAACAGAAAAATGAGCACAGATGAATCTGTAGCTATCCTGAATGCTGCCAGTGAGCTGACTGGGCACTTGTCAGAGGGTATACAAAGACATACTGAGGTAACTAACGGAAGGCTTACCCTAAACTGAAATGTGAAAGAAATGCCTTTCAGGAAAATGTGCATCAACCCCAACTCACATAAGCTAAAGTCATATTACTTGGAACTAAAGAAAGGGGACACAGCCAGAAACCAAACCCTAAAATGTATCAAATCTAAAAGAGAACATTGCCATTAGTAAGAGAAGGATACACACTGATACAGAGTGGCCTTTCAAAAAGTTTACATTTTACAGAACATGAGGTTTAAAGTTACAAAGTACAGGCTGCCAGTGGGGAACTGTAGTGTGAACTTTTTCTCCTTTTTCATACGCAGAAACACCTCACCGACCTCAATCCACCCCCACTTGACTTATTCCCTTCAAGATTTTCTTCCTTCATAAAATGTGTATATCTTTACAAATATGACGGTAGCCACGTGTTCAATGTGAAGTGCCCCATTAGGCAAAGTCCTATCCGTCCATCTCATTCTCTCTCTCAGAAACTCAGAGGAATAGATGTTTCTCTGGATGATTTTCTAAGCAGCTTTCTTTTTCTGTGAAATAGTAAGATGACTGAAATTTTTCTTAAAAACGCAAAATTCCTGGATTACTTTCTCCTTTTGTTTCATGTTTATTCCTTTGGACTATGCTGTTGCTAGGCAACCGGTACACATTTCCCAGCCCACAGAACTGCCTCCTAGCCATCCTAGGGGACCAAACTCCCTCCCCAGGCAGCTCTCCACACACTATCGCGCTGCTTGGGGGCTCCAAGGAGGTGCAGCAGACCCAGCCTGTTCCCTGAGGCACTTATCCCGACAGGTGAGGGACACACAGACACCCCGAGAGCAACCAAAGTGGCCGGAGAAGGGGGAGGGGGACCACACGTGCAGAGCTCTACTCCTTGTCTGCTGCTGTCAGCCTTCCTGGAGTGTCCTGCGGGCGTGCGGCTTAAAGGGCAAAGGGCGAGGTGATGTCGGCCCACCCAGTGACCAGATGGCCACCCGTCAACCGCGCAGCATGCAAACGTGCCCGGAGCCATCACCGACCCGGGCGGCAAGGATTCGGGGCGCACGCTGTCAGAGTCTGCACAGTGGCACAGGAGCCGGGGACCGGGGGACGGTCTCTGAGGGACCTCAGCTGAGCGCAGTGCGCACGGCCCGGCCGCGGCGGGACCGGAAGGGGCGCGCCGCTCGGCGCCGGCGGGAACAGCGGCCGGCTCGACACTTCCGTTCCGCCGGATACTGCGGCGCGGCCAGCAGGCGAGCTCCGGGGCTGTGCGCTCCGGGCCGCGCGACGGCGGGCGACGGGGTGCCACCCCGAGCCGGGCCCCGCGCGTCCCCGGCTGCGGCCTCGCGGCTGGCGGGCGCTCCGCCACCTGCCCACCGCCGCCGAGCCCGGACCCCGGCGGCGAGCACCCTTTACCTGCTCCGCCGCGGTGCTGCGGCGCGTCGCACCGGCTCCGTGCCCGGGACGCGGGACCCCCGCCCCCTCCCGCAGGCCGCGAGCCCAGGAACCCGAGTCGGGGCAGCCCACGCACCGCCCGGCGTCCGCGACCGCCTCACCGGAAGTTGATTTCCACGGAGCCCGCCCAGGCCTGCGCACGCGGGCGCGTCACGTGACCCCGGGCCGGGCCCGCTGAGCCTCCCGTGAAGAGAGCTGAAGGTGCTCCGAAGCCGCGTCAGGCCTCCTGTGTCTGAGGAGTTCAGAGTTTGTACCCATCCACCCGAAGCTAGAAGCTCCGCGGGCTGGGCCGCAGAGACCATCCCCGTTGGGCGATCCTCGAGTAGTCGACTCTGCAGTGCACGGCTCTGAGTTACGCTCAGGGGGTTCTGCCTATTAAAGGATCTCAGTCTTCCGTCGCGGCAGGCCGGTAAAGCCGCCTCCCCAGTCACAGTCTCCTGTCCAGAACTCGAATCTGCCATGAGAAGAGCCCTGTAATCTCTTCACCACTTTACAACCAAGAACAGCCGAGTAAAGCACCTGGCAGTACAGCGTGCTCAGGAAGTGTCTGACGTGATGTCTGGTGCTAATGGCTTAGCAGAACAACCAAGTCCCTGGACGCGCCTAAGCTGCTCTGGACCACCGTGGAGGTTGAAGATCCCTGCGCTGGGACTGTTGCTTTTGTCATCCACTCTGTCATCACAGTTCGTACTCTTGTTAGACACAGCCCTGTGGCATCCTTAAATCAAAGCCTTCAGTCAACCTCAAGCCTTTCCTGAAGGGAACACACACACACACACACACACACACACACACACACACACACGGCAGATATTTGTTTGAAAAGGAAGTGGTTGTGTAAACTGCCCTGGGTGTTACATGGGAATGGTCAGTAGGTAGCACGCTTGCTCGGATAATTTAGACAACATTCTCGGAACCAATTTTATTCAGTGTATACCGTTTACGTGGGACGAGTCAAGTGAAGAAAGTCTAGGGAGGAACTAGATACACCCAAGATATTTTACTGCCGAGTACCCTGGAGCTTTGAGCGTGAGTCTCCGGACTACATCATACAAAGGGCATTTTTAAACATCTTGGGAATAGCTTTTCTCTTTCTTCTGCTGAACAAAATTGATTGAACTATATATAATCTCTGTGAAGTGTCAACAGGATCTCGACAAGTCTCCACTGAGCTAGGCAACCTGAAGTCAGTAGTGAACAACTTTTAATACTGAACAGATCACCTCTTCTGGCCCTTTTCCCATCCCACCTGTTCTTTGCACAGTCAAGTGTATTTCTATTATACAAACTCAATGCTTTCTTACACATTTTATAAAGGCCTGCTGAGCCCAAGTCAAGGGCCAAGTCTTATTTGTACACTGAGCAAGCTGTTTCCTGTTTCTCCTTGTACATCTGGAAGGCTAGTAGTTAGAAAAGGAAAAGCATTCAATAAGCATTTCTTAAACTGTTAATCAAACCTATGCATTAGCTTGTCTCTTCTCTTTTTCTGCTTGAAACTTTAGTGCCTTTGGGTTTTCACTGAGACATCTGTATGCTTGTGCTGTCCCACTCAAGTTCAGTTTTACATGGACTCAGTAGTGATTGTAGCACACACAGCATTCTGTGTGTATGGCACTGAGCAAAAATAGAATAAAAATCTTTTTTCAATGTGTACACTATAGGATTATGAGGTCACTTCTGAAATGAGAACACAGCTGTACTCGGGGAGGGAATTTAACGTGCTGTAGAGCTGGATGGAAAGCCATCTTAACCAGCAGAGTGACCGTTTCTCCCCACAGCACACCACTCCACTTTTCAAGTCATCAGAATATCACCTCAGAAATCCCTCCTTGGAATCTGTGCATTTTTAACTTTAAATTTTCAACATACTCACACTTCGGCACCCATAACCATGATCGACTTTAAAGTACTTTAACAGCTTCCAAAGGAAATCCCATGTTCCTCAGCAGTCATCCCATCCTCTCTCTCTGCACACCTCCCCTCAGCCCTGGGCAACAGTCATCCACAGACCCTGCTTACTCTGGACATGGCTTCCACGTACACAGAGCGGCCTCTTGTGCCTGGTCTCCTTCACTTAGAACACTGTTTTGTAGCTTTGTGCTGGCCCTTCCCTCTCGCATAGACACTGGACAGGGACTGTAATTGCCGGGTCACAGGGTCACATGCCAGTTCCACCCCTCAGGAACTCTGATCCTCTTCTGCACCTCTTACACTCTCATCTCTGCCAGGCCTCACTTCCGGAGCACAAACCTTGCTCTTGATGACTCAACATAGCACTTGGGCAAGCTCTCTGATGCTGCCCCAGACATTTGCTGTGCCTGTGTCTGCGGACCTGTAGCACTCGTAGCCAGCGCCCTGAGGTGAGACTTACGGCCCCACCTTCAATAGGATCGAATGGAGAAACATGCAATCAAGGTAGAAGTGAGACTGAAGAAAAATTACAGGCGCCAAGTGCTCCCCTCACCCGGGCTACCCAGGAGGTGCCACTCATTGGATAAAAGGCTCCAGGACCAGTCCAGCTAAGAAATAGGAGCGTGCTTCAAGCAAACAAGAAAGAAGGAGCAGGAAGAAAGAGAAAGAGAGAAAAGACATGGACTTAGTGTTTTCACTTGCCTGGAGCTGTGGGGTAAATACAGTTTGAGGGTAGGTCTGCTGAGGGTAGGTGCAAAACACAGCTTTCGTTCCAGAGAAAGTAAGAGCTTATTCACTTTCAAATATAAGTGATCATGAGTTGGTAACACTGATTCAGGCTACAACCAAAAGACATGTTCCACCATGGATGAGAGTAGGTAACCTTTTCATAGTCACGGAACAAAATAAAGTCACAAATGAATTCGATTTCCAAACATTGTTAAGGACCCTCACCAGAGCAATTTCTGCTGTGCAGAGCAGCCTCTGCCTGTGTTCTGACTTCTTAGCCCCTGGGCCGGTGGATTCGGGGTGCCACTAAGGAAATACGTTCCAACGATCTCACCTGGCAATAAAACTGAATGTCAGATCAGATGTGAATGTGGGTGTAAAAAGCCTACTCAGGGCACTAGACAGAAGCTCCTGCTGTTCCTGGATCTGTAACATTCCACCATCCCAGCACCATGGCCGTGTTAACTGTGGTCTATGGAATCCTCTGCATGGAGACAACATTGGTGCAGAGGCACCAGGCCAGATCACACAGGAAAAACAGAGCATCTCCAGAGGCAACACAGGGAGAGTGTCCCAGACCTCAGAGAGCCTGGACACTCTTCTGTGGCTGAGGGATCTCCGGGATTGGCTCACCAAGGTGAGGGAGTTATTGCACAGAAGTGTGCAGGTGAGAGGTGACCAAGACCGGTGCGCACAGAGTGGCTGGAGTGAGGAACTCTGAGTGAGGTGCCATGAAGGTGGCAAAGCTCACTGGAAAACTATGCAAAGCAGGTGCCAGCGAGAGGAAGATGAAGAGCTGAAGGTGGCTCCAGTGCTGAAGCTGTGCAAAAGGCAGAGGATGGAGCTCTACTGGGGAGGAAGATGAGACGCTCTGAGTCCCCGTGACAGCTGCAGGCCAGCTGGGTGACCAAGAGGTGACCACGGCTGCAGGCTGCAGGCACCGTGAAGCCCAAGCTCATGGTGCAAAGCAGAGCTGACACGTGACAAGTGTGCGTTCTGGCTCGTAGATGGCACCTCAGTGTCTGTCTGACGAGTGTGCACGCTGGTTCATAGACGGCTCCTCACTGTGTCCTCACACCACAGAACTAGCCTTCCACCTGAAGACACTGGCCAGGTTCTGCTCATGACCATGGTGGTTTGGATGTTGTTGGAGTTACCCACAGAAGTGCAAGGGTCACAACACAACATGTGTAGCATCTCAAGCCTTGTGGTATCGTGCAAGCTCAGAATATCCAAAAGGGTCATTACCCATGAGGCCTTGCAGGAGATTTCCAAGTGGGTGCTCAGTCCAGCAGTGCCCTGACTGACAGGAGCTAGAAGGTGTGCTGCCCCCTCCCTGGCATGGCTGCTGGGCACTGGGGGTGGGGGGCTGCCGGGCTTACCGCAGCTGCTTCCCAAGTCACACAGACTGTTCGGGGCTCACTCCTATGGGCTGTGGGCCCCTGCTTAGTGACTGTTGGAGGGGACTTCGCCTCCCCTCAGAACATAGTGAAGATGAGTGGAAAGAACATAAGTGAAGATGAGTGGAAAGGAACCAGATCCAGGGACGGCACGGGCCCAGGGACTAAGAAGAGGCCACAGAGCCCAGAGGCGGACCAAAGTCAGTCTGAAGCCCCAACACTGTGGTGGCTGTAAAGCCTGGTACCTTCTGGGTTTTCTGCTCCCTGAGCATCAAGTGTGTAATGGTGTGGAAGGAGTCTGTATTTCTAGCCTAGGTGAGCTGTTGTCTCCTTACCGCAGAGAAATGCCTTGTCTGGCTTTTCCCCTTGGCTGTGTGCAAGCTGCAGAGCAGGGAGAATTGAGCGGCTTTGCTTAGAAGCTGTTCTCCAGGACTCCTGTGACACTTGGCAAATGCATGGGTCAGTGGGAAGGAACAGCACACACTGGCCTGAGACTGCACAGCGGAGGGACAGGGTGAACTGTGAACGACGCAGCGCCTTTCTGGTCTGTCTTCACTATTTCTGAGTTATGCCTGACACACAGCCACTTATGACCTTACTATCCTGGAAGGCGTGTGTGACCTCTGACCTTTCACTCTGAGACCCCTGGCAGCCTCCTCCCCAGTCTGTCCACGACCCTCCCGTGTGCATTTCAGTTTACATAGTTAGCCTAATTCCATCTGAAAAGAAACTCCCCTAATTAATGTCTGAGAACATGAATTGCTTCTTTGGTAGACAAGGGCAAATGAACAAAAGAAGCCAAGAAATGAAAAGAGTCATAACTTCTTCTGTAGAGTGGTATAAATTAATAAACGTCAGTTTCATGGTCACTTCCCTAACAGGTACCTCCGAGTAACTCACAGAAGCCCTGGCTGGACACAGAAAGGACGTGTCCACTCTGCCCTGGAGCTTCACATAGCATCCTTTCAAACTAATCCATTTCTGTGAACCTAAACTTTCTAAAGTCAGTGCTAGGTGGATGTGTGTGCGTGTGTGTGCCTGAGTGTC